GTAAGCGCACCTTGGGGTGCTTACAAACATTATTAGAAATGGGCTAGTCCAGGTGCGAGAATTAGCCTATAAGGGCTAGAGTATGGGCCAAGCAGTTCTTTAAATGAATACAGTTTGTGTGTTGTTATTTCGGGCATAAGCTAGCCAAGCGGCCGGGGTGTTGGGGACGCAGCGCCGCCGCTCTTATTTCAACACCTGCGCCTACCTCCCGTCCTGCCATCTGTCCGAGTACTACAGCCGCAGAACCTTCTTTTTTCTTCTTGTTGTTGTCCCGGGACTGCGCGATGTCGTCCGATAGCTAACCGTACTCCGAGTCACTGGTTCGGGCGCCACTGTGGATTGCGTTCGGGTCCAGGGTTACTCAGTCTAGGGGTTTGTAACCCACCCTGCAATCAAGTTATTCCAGGGTCACGGAAGGGCGCTACCTGGAAGGGAATTAGCTAAGACAGAAGAAGGAGGCCAAGCAGATTTGTCAAAGCCTCCGTTTATTAGGGACAGGTTACAGTTTATATATGGTAAGGAATGGGGGGCAGGGCACGGGATCTCGCCGGCCGCGTGGTCCCGGTCACGTAGCTAGGTCAGGTAGGCCAAGAGTCACAAGTTGCCACACCTAGTTCCCTGGATAGCTGGAATGTGAGGCGGGTTCTGCTAACAGATAGCTGCTAATTGGGTGAGGGGCATTCTGCAGACTCCCTAGGGTGATGGTTCCTGTAATGATTTTAGGGGGGAAATGACAACGGATGGGAGCACACATGCCACGGACGGGACCACACACGCCACAGATGGGAACATAGATTGAGAACACCAATGGGAGTTCACATACCATGGATGGGAACACAGATGCCACGGACAGGAGCACACATGCCATGGGCGGGAACACACATACCACAGACAGGGAGCCTGAGATGTAGTGGTAAGAGGCACATCTGGACATCATCTGGCAGAGGACAAATGAGAGCAATGGACTAACAAACACTGAGTCCTCGTGGAGACTGTTAAGTTGGGAGCATAGCCCCCAGCGTCTTGTATCCATCCCAGTCCCCAGGCCTGAGAGTTGTATTGGTCTGGACTCCAAATTCCAGCATGCCAGGGGTCAGGACCACTCCCACAGTGAGCTCCCAGAGGAGAAACACGTGGTCTCTTCCCCCTCCCTGTGATCGTGTTCGTGGCCTCCCGGTTCCCTTGCAGAAATTCCATTAAACCTGGATATTTCTTAAATTGGCTTGTTGTGATTTGGCTTGATTGGGATTTTTGCGTTAGCAGAGAGCTCGTGTTAGGAAAAATTCCTAACATCTTGGAGGTCCCACCAGGTAAGGGGCTTTTCGGCGTGGCCATAGGCCACGCATTGAAAGCCCCCTAGTCCACAATCTGAGCTCTCCACGCCATGCTAAAACTGGCTCCTGGGCTACAGCGGCTGGGTCTTGGTGAGTCCCTTTTTCTTGTCTATGCTATAGGGTTTTTGGGGGACCCATTCGTACTTATTTTTGTCAATTATCAGACTCTTATTGAAGCTGCGAGCTCGCACCAAGAGTTTGATCTCAGCAGCGGCTAGGCCGGCAAGACGGGGCCTGGCTGAGGTGGGCTTTGTTTGTACCAGGGATGCCTAGCATTCAATTTCCCCGACCCTGTTAGGCCTAAGAGCTATTTTAGCAGACACACTGTAATAGACTTAGGTCACTTGGTTGGGCATATACTTTAAAATGGGCACTTGCAGTTCAAAGCCAGATCCACTGTCGCCCCTGGGATACCTCTTACAAAATTTTTATAAATTGGGGCTGTACATATGTCCATGGTTTTTGGGTTCTGCGCTCTTGCCTTTCCCTTAGTAGCCAGTGTCTCTCAACACCAATCTTGGTTGCTAAGGCCGCAATGCCTCCAAATTTCTAGTCATCTGGGAATTGGGACCCCACAACTCCAGCTGGACCATGAAGCCAGAGACACTGGCTCCTCCCCCCACTCCCTCAAACCCACACTACAACCCCCTCCTGTGGGGCAACATTCTCCACATTCCTCTCCTTCCCTGGACTAACCTCTCCCTACCCAATCTGGAGGTTCAAGGTCAACTTCCACCTTACCCACCTTCTTCTCCCCCTCCCCCTCCTACCTCATCTCCCCACCCTCAGACCCCTTCTGCACACTGGGCCCTATCCCCTCCCATTCCTCCCCAGTCTCCTCCCATTCCAGATCCCGCGTAGCTCTGCCCTTCTCTGTCCTTTCTGGGAGGTGGCAGGAGTTGATGGCATTATGAAAGTTCATGTTCCCTTTTCTCTTCCAACTCTCTCTCAGATAGGAAAGCAGCTAGGTTCCTTTTCTACTAATCCTTCTGCTTATATCAAGGAGTTTCATTATTTGTCCCAGACCTACGATCTTACCTGGCATGACTATTACGTCATCCAAGCTTCTACTCTCACTCCTGAGGAGTAAAATAGAATTCAGGTAGCAGCTAGGCAGTATGCAGACCAGACTCATTTGGTAGACAATACAGTCCCTGGGGGAGAAGTGGCTGTGCCAGCCACAGAACCACACTGGGATTACCAACCTGGCCAAAGTGGCTGACAGAGGCAGAACATCATGGTTCGTTGTCTCCTTCAGGGTATGGAAATGGTCTCAGAAAAAATAGTTAATTTTGACAAACTCCGAGAGATTACACAGCTAACAATGAAAATCCAGCCTTTTTTAAAATTGTTTACAAAAGACCATGGTCCAATATACCAGGCTAGATCCAGCCTCCCCAGCGGGAGCCACAGTCTTGGCTACCCATTTTATTTCTCAGTCAGCACCAGATATTAGGAAAAAGTTAAGAAAGGTTAGGGAGTGTCCCCAAATCCCTATACGGGAATTGGTGAAGATGGCCTTTAAAGTTTTTTTTTTTTTCAAAACTGTTGAAATAAGAGCGTCGGGGCTGCGTCCCCAACACCCCGGCCACTTGGCTAGCTTATGCCCGAAATAACAACACGCAAACTGTATTCATTTAAGAACTGCTTGGCCCATGGACTCTAACCCTTACAGGCTAATTCTCGCACCTGGACTAGCCCATTTCTAATAATGTGTGTAAGCACCCCAAGGTGCGCTTACCGGGAAGATTCTAGCCTCTGTCCATCCTGGGAGAGTTGAGCATGGCGTCTCTGCTCCAGCAGAGCTGTCGGGTCTCTCTGGGAGCAGAGCAGAGTCTGACCTCACTTCCTCTTCCGCCCAGCATCCTATTCTGTTTACTCCTCCCATCTATGTTCTAAGCTGAGGCCAAGCAGTTGGTTTATTATAACTTAACCAATGAAATCAACAGATTGATATATGACACTCCCACATCACAAAACCACAATTGATTTTTATGAAAAGAACACGTCACATAATCCCGATTTCCCACGTACCCAAAGTTAAATAACTCTCAACAATACTTCTTAGATCCTATTCTAAACACTACCAAAAATTCCCCCAGTGGGGCAAACAACAAAAAGAAAAACCAAAACCTGAAGGCTGTTCTCCAACTTTATTTGAGATTCAGTAGGTTAGTTCTCATCCACATTGACTGTCTGTAGATTTTTGAATGTGGTAACAGGCACGTAAGTTACCAATGTGTAGAGTTTGTTTGGTGAGTCCTCATCCTCATTACGTTTTCTGGACAAACGTACCCGGATACGATATGGAACATTTCTTATTCCTTTGGCCCAGACGGCTTTATTGAGCCTGGTATCAATCCGCACATCTGGAGTCCCCATCTCCTTCATGGCAAATTTCTGGATTTCTTTGAGTGCCCTAGGAGCACGCTTCTTAAAGCCCACGCCATGGATGCGCTTGTGAATGTTGATGGTGTATTTTCGGGTCACCACCTCGTTGATGGCAGAACGGCCCTTCTTCTTCTCGCCACCCTTCTTTGCGGGAGCCATTCTGCCGGGCCCAAGTAGGAAAAAGCGGCCTTTAAAGTTTTTAATGCCTGAGAAGAAACAGCTGGGTCTTCCCATCAGACAAGGCTGCATGCAACAGGCAGCTAACCTACAGGCCCAAGCCTTAGCAGCTGCCCGAAGGTTGCAGGAAGGGGGACAAGAGAAGCCAACCACAAGGATCTACCCTGATGGAGCCTGGAGCCCAGCCTAAGTCAACCTCACATGCATGCTATTTCAAGGGTGGCCTAAATGGTCATGTGACACAATATTGCACTATGCCTCCTCTGAGGTTATGCCCTATCTGCCAGCAGCCTGGACACTGGAAATCACAATGCCCCCGTGTGGGCTTGTCCTCTATGCCATGCCATGGAGGTTCAGCCTCACCAACATTGGCAAGTGAAACTGTGCCAGCCTTGCAGAGGATTGACGCTGCCCAGACTTGGTTTATCCCATAACCCTATCTGAGCCTAGGGTAAAGCTGCAGGTAGTGGGTAAGTCCATTACTTTTATTTTAAACATGGGAGCTACCTATTCTGTTCTAACATCTCACTCGGGCCTTACGTTCCCCTTACCAATTTCAGTTATGGGGGTGGATGGGACACATTCCTCCCCACTTAAAACTTTGCCACTGCCCTGCATTCTTGCAGGACAATTTTTCTCTCATTCTTTCTTAGTGATACCTGCTTGCCCAGCACCTTTACTGTGTCGATTGCGTTGGGTGGGTTACTCAGTCTAGGGGTTTGTAACCCACCCTGCCATCAGTTATTCCAGGGTCTCGGAGGGGCGCTACCTGGAAGGGAATGAGCTAAGACAGAAGAAGGAGGCCAAGCAGATTTGTCAAAGCCTCCATTTATTAGGATCATGGTTGCTGCTTATATAGCCCCTGAAGGGTAGGGAAACTGGACTCTGCATGTTCCAGGTCACGTAGGCCAGGTTATGTTCGGACGGACAGGTAGGCCAAGAAGTCACGAGTTGCCACACCTAGTTCCCTGGATAGCTGGAATGTGAGGCGCATTCCGCTAACAGATAAGTTAATTGGGTGTGGGGCAGGTTCTCAATAGAACATAATTATGGGTGTGGGGTTCCCTGCAGACTCCCCAGGGTTATGGTTCCTGTAATGATTTTTAGGGGGGAAATGGCTCGTGACATTACTGGGTCGAGATATTCTTAGCTCCTTCCCCAAAGCTTTGTTTCGCTTCTTGGAGCCCCTTTTATACCCCACCCATCTCTGAGATCATATTTTATAGGTTCCCTCCTCCTGCCAGACATATGTCCAAGCCAGCCCACAAGGGGCTCTCCACATATTTCAGTCTCTACACCAGCTTCGCGGACACCAACCGGGAGAAGATTGGCAGGTTGATTTCGCTCATATGCCTACTCATAAGAAACTCTGTTATCTCTTAACACTTGTGGACACTTGTACAGGATGGATAGAAGCGTTTCTGGCCTCCAGGGAAACAGCAGATGTGGTGGCTCAGGTACTGGGACACATCATTCCTTAGTTTGGTGTCCCACAAACCATCCAGATGGACAATGGGCCAGTCTTCACTTCCAGGGTCATGGAGTTCATGTCAGAAGCTCTCAACATCTCCTGGAAATTCCATACCCCCTACCATCCTCAATCCTCGGGAAAGGTGGAGAGGGCTAATGGACTCATCAAACAACAGCTAACCAAGCTCTCCATTTAACTCAGATTATCTTGGCCCTCCCTTCTCCCCACTCCCCTTACTCGCCTTAGGGCCACCCCATGTTCCCCTACGTGCCTGAGCCCTTTTGAGCTGCTTTATGGCAGGGCCTTTCTCCTTAACCATCACCTCCCAGTCCAAACTCCTCCACTGGTAGGGTACCTACCCTCCCATTCTCTTTTAAGGTCCCTTCTCCGGTCACATGCTGACAGTTGTCTCCCTGCCCCCACACCAATGGACCCTAACGCCCCTAAACCTACCCCGCTCTCCCCAGGGGACAGAGTACTCCTCAAACAGTTAACTCCTAGGTCTCTCCAACCTCAATGGACAGGACCTCACACGCTAATTCTCACTACCCCCTTGGCTGCCAAGCTCCTGGGACACCCATGCTGGTACCGTCTCACCACAAGCGGGCACCTACTCAGGACACTTGGTCTGTCCAGCAGACAGGACCTTCCACCCTCCGGTTTTCCAGGATGCCACAATGAAGGGCCTACCTGGTCCTCATCCTGGCACACTCAACTTTGGTAATAACAATATTTTCTTCCTAGACACCTGCCTTCTCACCTCCCCCAAGGAACAGATGCCTGGAGTCTCCGGGATGACAGTACATGGGTTGCCTTTCCAGCCACACCTCTTGCTGAGTGTGGACCCACTAACACCTAGCTCTCCCCTTCCCCACATCACCATATTCACGCAGGAAGTAGCCAGACTTGAGTCAACGCCCTTTTTCCTAGAGAGCCTAAATTGTTGGTCACAATTATCACATCAATTTCCTGTAATCTCTATATCCAAAGAGTCTGGAATGTTCAGTTGGGAGTATAGGCCCCTGCCCCTCGCATCCATCCCAACCCCCAGGCCTGAAAGTTGTATTGGTCTGGACTCCAAATTCCAGCATTAGCTCCAAATACCCCCCACTCCCACAGGGTATTTAAGTGAGCTCCCAAAAGAGGAACACGTGGTCTCTTTTCCTTCTTCCTGGTGGTTGCGTTAGTGGCCTCCTGGTTCCCCCTTGGGGCCACCCAAGAGCGCAAGAATCCCATTAAACCTGGATATTTCTTAATTTGGCTTGTTGTGATTTGGCTTGATTGGGATTTTTGCATTGGCAGAGAGCTCGCGTTAGGAAAAATTCCTAACAGAGGCGAGTGAGTGAGAGGTGAGGGGTTGAGGGAGAAAAGAGAGATGTGAGACTGCCCTTCCCCCTCACCTCCCTCCACCGACATCTCCCAGGCAAAAGCCCCCTTGTCTCTCTCCTCAAGGAGTCTTCCAGATTCTTTGCCAGGCTGTTGCCTAGCAACAGTGTCCTGGTTGGCCAGCCCCACCCACTGCAGTCTTCAGGATCAGGGTAGTATAGCTCTAGGACCTGACTTCAGGAAGGGAGTGGAGCTGACCCTGGGGCTGGCCCAGATGAAGTCTGGGAGTTCAGCATTTCAAGAACAGGCAGAGTGGAGCACTGCTCAGAAGACTGAGCTGAAACTGAGGAAGCATGGTACGCACAGGGGTGAGACCAAAGGCTTCACTCCGAAGTCCCGGTTCTAAGTATATCTGAGAGAAGCTAAGTCCCCTCCTGGACCAGTTTCACTGCTTTAGTCCCTGAGGGACAGGGTGAGGACCAATTGAGCACACAAGGCTTGTCCTCACAGAGGTTCTCCCAAAGCCCTCCAGGGGAGGGATGGTGACCTGCCTGCAGAACTGAGCCTAGAGGCTCCCTGAAGAAATGGTCCCTGCCTGACTTCCCTGCATGGAGGGAGCTCCAGGCAGAGGAAACAGCCTGTGCCAAAGTCCCAGGGCCTGGCTCTTTTGGTAGCCAAGTGAATTTACACATAATCTCCACCATCTTTACAGGGTTTGAATTAGAGGTCTCATGGTTCAGAAAGGACAAGGGACCTGCCCAGCGTTACTCTGCAGTACCTGTAGAGCTAAGTTCAGCTGGCTTTCACCCTGCAGCCTGAATGCACAGAAAAGAAAGTGACATTCATGGAGGGAGAAAAGAGAATGCAGCTGTTGTGGTGGTGGTGTTGATGGTGGTGGTGGTGGTGATGGTGGTGGTGATGGTGGTGGTGGTTAGGAGATTGGTGTGGGCCTGGACCACAGGGAAGGAACTCTGAGCTCTAGGCAGGGCACTGGGGAGCCATTGATGGTTTTTGAGCTGGGAGAGAAGAACCCAGCTGAGTTTTCAGGTCCCTGGGTACTGTCTTGGGGCATCTGTCCCCACTTCCTACACTTGCTGCTCTCTGCATCCATCTGCCCCACCCTCCACCCCCGTGCTTCTCAACCACTGTGAGGAACCATGTGTGACGGTGGAGAATGTAAAAATACATACGCAACCGAAAAACAACAACGGCTGACAGCACCCCGCTATAAATACTCTGGAGCGGAAGCACGCTCCTCGAGCCGGCTGCCTACTACCTGCGTCTGGCCGCTGACTGGTGAAGGGACTCAGAGGAAGGGGCAGGAACAAAATGACCAGTGGCAGACCTACTATGTGCCGAGTGTTTGGAAAGTGTGACATTACCATGTTAGTAATCACTGCTGCTGTGCCAATTTTAAAGATAAGGAAATGGAAGATCAGAGAAGACCATCTGGTAAAGGTCACACAGCCAGGGAACAGAGGGGCTGGAGAGGCCAAGGCCCACCATGGGCCAACTGTAGGAGGAAGAGAGCCAACTTCAGGCCCTGCCTCTCTCAGTCCCTGTCCATCACCAGAGAGCTGAGGCTACACATTCTTCAACCCACACGTCTTTCATGTGAAGAACGTATTTCTTCTCTTGGCTTTCAAGCTCCTGGCTTCTGTCTTCCACCCACCCTCAGAGGCCAGCTGTTGTGCAGAGCCATGCATCTCTGAGCTCGTTGACCATGAGTGCTTTTTGCCTCTACACTTGCTGTTCATCATGGTTTCTGAGTTGGTAGAGACGTAACCCAGGCTGAGTTCTCAGGTCCCTAGGTACTGTCCTGGGCCATTTCCCTACCTCCTACATTTGCTGCCTCCAGCTGCAGCCTCAGCTCCAGTCCCACCTGCTCAGGGAAGACTCTCTAGGGTCTTCCATCGGCCAGACCCTCCCATTAGCAGACTTCCACATGCTTTCCTGGCAACCCTCATCCGCGACCTTGGCTGGGCCATCGTAAGTGGTGGGCCACAGCTGGGAACAGGCAGAACTGGGACCATGGTGCTCTCTGCCTGGCCAGTGAGTGCTTGGATGCTTAGGAGTGGTCAGTTGGCGCCTCCCCTCGTGAATGGACAGGGTTGGGGATGAGCTCAGGTGAGTGACCTTGGGGACAATTGTGGAGGTGATGGGATGAAGCTGGCCTTTGGGTCTCTGGAAA